TTAGATTATTTTTTGACAAGCATCTGATTTATATTAAAAATCGAAGATAATCTGTATTTTAAGGATACTTTTATTAATAATTAATCTAAACTAAAATATATAGGAATGTCTGTGATTTTGTTGAATTTTGTCAAAAATAAATCTCGATTAAAGTTACAAGCAGAAAAAATATAAACGCTTAATTACATCTCCCAGTATTTAGGAGTCTAGACCAGCTTTTTTGGAAGGTACCCAGAGTACTTTATGATAAATCTAGGTAATTACGACATTGCAATTGTTTGCATGCAGATTATCAAAATCGATATGTAGATCACTAGAACCTTATAGAAGTATAATTAGGGGTGTGAATTAATCGAAAATTTAGATTCTCATTTAAAAATAGTCTTGGGAAAAATCTGTTGTGTGATAATTTGTAATGCCCTCTAGTGAGCCAAAATTTATTTTTGTAAGCTTTCAAGATAATAATGATAGAGTATTTATCTATAATATATATATATATTTTATAATTACAGTTACATATTCTAATATTTTTATGACCAAGTTGTGTATTGAGAAAGGTGTATTTGAAAATACCTCCCTGTTCAATGCTCTGACTTCAAATAACTTTTTGGTAATATTCAAATAAATATACTTCAATTCTTAATTCGACTTTAACATATCTATCATAAAATTTTTTAAGAATTCACTCAGAAAACTCTATTAAATTGTTTTATCCTTAAAGTATTTATAATATCCATCATTACAAAATCATTATCTCATCTCATACTGTCACCAGAGAATACATTACATTGGTTTAAAGAGGCTGTATATCAGACATTTTCAAAGAATATTGCTATTAAATGTTATGAAAATGCAGAAAAAGAAGTAAACGAGTTTAAGACTAAACAGGTATATTAATAATTAGATAAATATCATATTAAGCTTATTAAGCTAATGATTTACTATAAGCTTCAGGCAACCGGATCTTATGATTAATTCTTCACCATTTGTTGAGTTGAAGTTTTAGACAACAAAGCTTTGTTATTACTATTTAGATTGATTAAGTTTTGGGCAACCGAACTTTATTATTTCCACTTATTGAATTAAAGTTTCGGGCAACTGGACATTACATTATTATTTCTCCTCCTTATCAAATACTATTAAAGTTTCAGGCAACTGGACTTAATAGTTATCGCACTCATTTTTATACCTTTTCCTTACTATATATTCCAAATAAATGATTAATTTAAAATCTTTGATCAATAGAACTTTCTACTTTATTTTATTTATTTATT